CGACGTCGCACAGTAACGGAGCGCCGACACAGTAGCGCCGACGACGCACAGAAGCAGAGTGCCGGCATAGTGGCACCGACGCCGTCCATCAGCAGAGCTCCGACAGAATAGCGTCACAAGCAATAGCGTGCGCAAGCCCGCGCAACAGTGACGCAGAAGCAGAACGCCGACACAAGAGCGCCGACGTCGCATAGGAGCAGAGCGCCGACACAGTAGCGCCGACGACGCACAGAAGCAGAGTGCCGGCATAGTGGCACCGACGCCGTCCATCAGCAGAGCTCCGACAGAATAGCGTCACAAGCAATAGCGTGCGCAAGCCCGCGCAACGGTGACGCAGAAGCAGAACGCCGACACAAGAGCGCCGACGTCGCATAGGAGCAGAGCGCCGACACAGTAGCGCCGACGTCACCCAGCAGCAGCGCGCTGGGGATTCACCGTTAGGAATTCATACAACGTTAATCGTATTATGTTCATAGAAATTAAGTAGTAACACGTTTTTAGAAATTAAATAAAGTACTATTTGCAAAGGCCCCACAATATAAATTTTTTGTAACGGACCCTGGGCACGGCGAGTATACCTCAGCATAGAAAACAGAAGCGTCGGGGCCTTCACAGGAAAACGCTTCGTTACAATTGGCGCCCGAGCAGGGACCCTGCCAATAATACAATACAAAGATGGCATTTCGAAGCCGCTAATTAAACCAGCCATGACAGAACCAGTGAGCATAGCATGGCTGGATAGCGTATCCAAGGAACAGTTGGTGCCCATCACACAGGAACTGGGCATCAAACACACAGGCACCAATCGAGAGATGAGTGCACTCGTCGACCCGGAACTTCATGCAAAATTTCTCGCGATGGAAGCAGCATACAACGAACAGGAGGCCCACTGGAGAGACGAAAGTGAGCCAAAGACACCGTTAACCGTGAATCAAGGCGAAAGAACCGCTAATGTGCCCGTTAGGCCGCCAACACAGAGCCAGTTTACATATCCGCCACCGAGTATGCAGCCGCCACCTCTGCACCCGCCAACGACATCCACCGCACCAAACGCTGACGTGCTAACCAACGGCAACCATGTGCCTACCGTTACTTTTGCGCCCATCATCGACCAGGTACGCAAGTGGTCGGTAAAGTACGATGGAGGACGCGACTCGTTGGCGTTTTCAGAACGATTAGAGGAGCTGGCCGACGTCTACACATTAAATGTAGACCTATTACCAAAGACGATGCCTGAATTGCTAAGCGGCACCGCCCTCCAGGGGTACCGCAACAACAACGAGCATTGGACCAACTGGGCGTCATTCAAACGTGATTTCCTGCACTTTTTTCTACCGGCCCGGTATTTTGAACGCCTGGAATAGGACATAAGGCAACGGAGGCAGCGCTCGCGAGAAAAATTTAAGGACTACGTGACCGCGATTCAAAACCTGATGCGACACGCGGGTCACAGTAGTGAACAACGGCTGGAAAGGATTTTTCGAAATAGCCACCCAGAGTACTTGCTTTATATCAAACGGCGAGATTTTAACACTTTGACGGAACTCCTCACACTCGCCGAAGACTATGAAAGCATATACGAAAGCCATCGGCGGGTCCCAGAAACCGCCCGACGAGATATAGTGAGACACGTTGGTGACGACCCCATTATGTCACCCCAACCGAGACCAGCACTTCAGCAACGACCGCCACCACGCATGGATCAGCATCATCGAGGAGCACCGTATAATACCGCCGCGAGGACCTCACCCCCTTCGAGAGCCGCGACTCAGACTTTTCATAGCGGAAACACATGCAGGAGGTGTGGTCAAGAGGGACACTTCGCCCGAAGGTGCCGTAACCCACGGAAGCTGTTCTGTTGGGAGTGCTTTTCGACGTTAAGCTTTCCTTGCATTGTTCGGCGCACATTTTTTGCTGCACAGAGGCGTGCGTATCTTGGCTACAACAAGATAGTGGTCGAGTTGATGTTTGGCCCTCGGAGTGTGCGTACGTCTAAAACACTGGAAGCGTGCCTTCCGTCTATCACAACATGATCGATTTACTTTCTCGTTTTTCGATCCGGAGACAGCCACGTAGCTTGATGGATCTTTTTATGCTTGAACCTAGTACTGCATTCTACCATGTTTCGGGCCGCGGCGAGGTCGATCAGTCTCAAGCCGTTGTCTGACGTTTCGTCGTGGAGGCAGAATTTTCCGACGGTGGTTCCAAAGATCCCTTCTTTGCCCACCCTGGCATTGAAGTCGCCAAGCACGATTTTGATATCATGACGGGGGCAGCGCTCGTACGTGCGCTCCAAGCGCTCATAGAAGAGATCCTTGGATGCCTCATCCTTCTCTTCCGTCGGGGCATGGGCGCAGATGAGCGAGATGTTGAAGAATCTCGCTTTGATGCGGATTGTGGCTAGACGCTCGTCCACCGAGGTGAACGACAGTACTCGGCGACGGAGTCCCTCTCCCTCCACAAATCCAACTCCGAATTTGCGCTCCTTTACATGGCAGCTGTAGTAGAAGTCGCAAGGCCCCAGACATTGCTGCCTTGCTGCCGTCCAACGCATTTCTTGGATGGCGGTGATGTCAGCTTTTGTCCTTACGAGGACATCAACCAGCCGGGCAGAGGCACCTTCCCCATTAAGGGTCCGGACATTCCAGGTGCATGCCCTCAAATCGTAGTCCTTTAAACGTTTGCAATGGTCGTCATCATAAGGGGGGTCTCATCCGAAGCTATGCCTTGCTTCTTCACTGGAAGTGGTTTTTACGTGGCGGGTCCCAAACCCAGCGCACAATGGGTTGTGGTTTCGCAACCAAATACACGTTTATATAGCGAGCCGCTTGCTCCAAGCAGACACCCGCTTGCAGCCGCACCTACTGGTGAACAGACGCTGCAGACTTCAGTGAGCCCTTAAACCGAATACTTGATACTTTGATGACATTTCGAAGTAAAAAATAGCCGACGTCGAAGGGTACGATTACATTTTCCTATCTGAATACATTGCTATATTGAATATTTAAAATATGCAATGTATATGGTTGCAATGTGTCGCACCTCTGCATATACAAACAGTTTGAATACCGAAGTATAACAGTTTCCAAACATCGTATTGATACGTTTTGGAAGTCAGCCTATTTCATGGTGAAATAAAAATAAGGTGATGTCAGTTGGCGGGTGTTTGTTGTAATTTTGACAAATTCGGTAGCCCCGTTCTGAATGATGCCCTCTTGAACAAAAACTACACTAGAAAACTCCTTTTAGGTATTGTGCTGAAAACGTAAGGGTGAACATCACTGTCCTTGACATTTCTGTTTAGTTGGGACTTTTCCACTTAATATTTTTTGGAAAAATTGTTCATTCATATTCAACTGAACTTTTCTCTCAAAGTTTAAACTGCTGGCAAATGTAAATAGGGATAAAAATTTAATAATTTATTAATAGAAGTAAAGTAAAATATGTGGAAAATTAAGAATAAAATACTTGGTTCGCAAAATCCATAAAGGACACTTTTATTTCTCAAAAAACCGGGGTAACAGTTATTCGTCGCCCCGGTGTATAGTTATGATCGCTTCAAAGCAGTCCCTTTTAGAAATTCTGACCTTGTAGAGTTTGAGGTAGGATAACTCGGGATTATCCAGGAATAGCTTGAGGACCTCAAATGACCCCGAAGATCTCTACTTTTCATTCTGATCGTATTAAAGAGGCGTGGGGCGCTCCAGCAGGCCTCTTTTTCAATCAGAATAGGCAAGGAAGAAATGCCTGTAATGACATCAAGGGCATCTGTTGGACAGGTACGCATAGCTCCTGTGATGGCTACGCGCACCAGTCGGTGCAGCTGCTCAAGGTGGCACCCGCGTTTACTTGCTGCATATGTAACAACGGGTTTTACTACCGTATTGAAATACCAATACATTAGATATGAGGTTTGTTCGTCGAAAATCCAGCAAGAATTATCCAACACTCAAAATATCAGAGAGTAAGAAAAAATTCTCTCAAATTCTCTCTCATGTTGAGAAACTTGCAAATTTCTGCACGAACGCAAATTTGCAGGAATTTGCAAGTTTCGCTGCCAGCTGGCGTCCACGGTTGCATTTCAAACATAAAAAATTTTTATAGAATTTTTAAAATTCTTTCGGATGGCCAAAAACAGGATATACATGTATATTTCTTGTTGTTCTGACTTTCTTTAACATACATTTCAATTTCTTCATCGTACTAGCTGTCGGGTTTCTTAAATCGACTCTGGTTGCAATTGCATTCCGATTGCGAATACCATTTTTTTCAGCCGAATTAAGTTCAAATCAGTGGAATTAACTAAATTAATTATTTACTTCCTTTTTTCATAAAAAAATCTATAAAAAAATCGCTCGTGTTTATAAATTTTTAAATTTAACGAACTAATTTATTCAAATTATTGTAGACAAAAATGCAACCATGCGCCACAACCACATGTTTTTCGTGTTTGCAAATTCTTGCTGGCAAAATTTTTTCCAGCAAGAATTTGCAACTTCTCTCCAAGAGAACTGTCACTTTGCTCTCACAATTTTTGAGTGTTGGATAATTTTTTGGTCTGCACGAACGCGATTTGGGCAAAAATCGTGATAATTCGTACAAATTCGTGACAGGCATAAAACACACTTGTAATTTTGTTGGTATCATTCGAGAGATGTGATTTCCCATTGAGCCTTTTATCCAGAGCTACCCTAGATACTTTACCTCTTCTGAGAACTCAATTTCTGTCCCTGCCAAGTAGGGTCTAATCAAGTAGACTTTCCTTCTTTTGGTAAATGGAACAATTCAGTGCGTTTGTCTACAAGCCCACTATATATTCGTGTAACCAAGGTTGCTAAAATGTTGGCAGATACATATTTTCTATTTTTCGCAAATAACTTATATTGCCGCGGAACCTACCAAAATCTAATCTAGGCTTCCAAACTACCATATGGAAATACAACTACCAGTTTTGGTAGGAAAAGCTCATGTGTGGCAACGCTGTTTGCATCGATGTTTCCGATGAATCGGTCAACATCACGCATCTCTAAACACTACTATCTAGGGCATTTGCCAAAGGATTTGTTTATAGTTGTTTTTCTTTTGGTAACATAATATAATCTGCAATTAAGATCCATCTTTTATTATACAATTTTAATAGAAGTTACTCAAATAAACATGGCGGTAAAAAAGGAGAGAGTTGATTACGGAGACTTAAGAAAATGCGGAGAAATAACCACACTGTTGTCAATAGAGAGAAAAGAATTTTTCTTGAACTGTGAATTCTGTCACCATTCATTTTTGCAATTGGGCGATTTTATACAACACATTTGCGAAGACCACTTGAACAGATTTGTGGAAATAAATCTGAGAAACAAAGAGACAGACTTTCTTGTTTCAGAAAGAAAACAGGATTCCGCAGAAATCGACATGAAATCGGAAGAGTATTATGAGGTAAGTTGTCCCAACTTTTAAAGAACGTAGATAAAGCAGAATTCTTTATAGGAAGATGATAGTGAACAGTTTTACAATGACTTTGAAAAAGTTGAAATAGAGTTGGACACAAGTGAAATGAGTATTCTTCCACTAGATACTGAAGCAGCAGTATCAGGTACAATATCGGACGAAGAAAGCATGGTAAGTATAAACAATACTCGGAATTTAAAAGTGGCTGTAATCCGTCGTAGATTCGATTTTGCTACGAATCGTAAAATTAGTATGCTGAAATCCGTGTTGTCGTATCGTTATTTCGAAATTCGTAGGCCATCTTCGAAATTCGTAATGTTGGTATTCCTGAATCCGACATAGCTGTCATTTATATGTATTTGTCGGAAATTTTGTACAAATAGCAACTATAACTAACTAACTAACTTAAAATATCAATGTTTAGTAGCGCTCACATGTTTTTTGGGATGCGAGGTGGCAGAGGGCGAGGGGGCGGGGGAGCGGGGCGGCCCCCCATACCGCCCCACTAGAATGAAGGCAGTCCCCGTTTTCTAAAAAGGCGTACTCCGCCCCCTTGGGCTCCTCCCACAGGCCCCTAGGGAACCGTTTGAAAAAGGGAGAAAAACGGAATTTTCTTAGGCAAACTGAGCAGTTTGAAGTGGAATATGATCGAACTAACAGAAACCGTGGGATTTTTTAATAAAAGAAATTATGCCAAATTAGATATCGGGCGATTTTGAATAAAGAATAAAAAAGTTAATTAAAAATAGAAAAAACAAGTTTTTAGAAAAAAAAATGTTCTTTTTAACAAATGTATTTTTGCGTAGAATAGAACAGGCAGTAGAATTCTCCTTTCTGTGTTGGCAAAGAAGGGGGGCAGAACACCTTTCTGCATAGGCGGCCTTCAGCCGCACTTAGGGATTATAACCCTCAGGCAGTAGAATTCTCCTTTCTGTTTTGCGAAGAAACGGAGCTGAACACCTTTTGCAGAGAACACCATTGTATATTTTTAATGCTTACTGGGTTATATCCTATCTTCTTTTGTCTCTCCTGTTGTTGGACAGCTGAACTTCGCCATTTAATTTGCATATGCAACCAAAGTCATACGCCTGACCACTCTTCACCACGTGGACAAAAGAGGTGAGGCTCGAACTGAACGTGTTCGTTGGCGGAGTCAAGATTCCGACAGTCAACCACCCAAAGATACTAGGCGTCACGTTCGACAGTCTCATGTCCTTCGCAGCACACACCACCACAGTTTGCAACAAACTGCGAAGCAGAAATAAAGTCTTCAAGTCGCTCGCCGGCAGCACTTGGGGAAAAGATAAGGAAACTCTGCTCGTGACATACAAAGCGATCGGCCGGTCCGTTGCAAACTATGACGCCCCAGTGTGGACAGCAGGCACGAGTGACACGCAGTGGAAAAACCTTCAGATTTGCCAAAACGCCGCTCTACGAACCGCGACAGGGTGTCTCCTTATGTCCTCCGAACAACACTTACACGACGAGACTACAATGCTCCGGGTAAGGGATCATAATACGTTGCTGTCAAAACAGTTCCTGCTAGGCTGTCACAGAACAACTCACCCTAACTACAGCCTGACACAGAGAACTGCACCACCAAGACACGTAAGGAGACACCTCAGCCACCTAGAAGCAGACATCGACCAACAACTTCACTTGCCACTGAGCCGCGAGGCATACATAGTCCTCGGTGGCCGGCCGCCTCCCATCGATTTGAGCGAATTCCAACTACCGCGCGAAACAAGAACCACACTGGCGCAACTCAGATCTGGCTGGTGCAGCCGCTTAAACTCGTACAGAACCAGATTAGACCCTGAGATCGCTGAGCATGCGGAACATCTGTTCGCATGCCCTACATATCCCACCCATCTGACACCCGAAGCGCTGTGGACTCAACCTATTGAGACTGCTCGCTTCCTGGGCCTAAGGTTGGAGGAGTCAGATGGGGAAGACGAAGATGAATAAACAACCAACCAATTCGGGGACTACGTGCTGCTAACAAAATTCGAATACGAAAGGGTTGCAGAATTGAGGTGATAGAGAATAATGGCAGCTTTGCTGGCATCACAATTGTTTTTTTAACGCTTGGTTGTCAATAGTCTTTCAGTGCTTACAATTTTACGCTATGAATGGTACATTCGTAGTGAAATAAACTATAATGGCCTGTGGCCACAAAAATTTTGCCACGCCTCGCACAGTTCTTTTATAATGCATGACTGCTTCCACTAGGATTCTTCTCCAACTCAGGGGTAAACGCAAAACTAAATTCCATATTTTGGTTGGTCGGAGGAGTGGCTATCGCTCTAGCCACAATCATAGAGTCAGTTGAGGACTTCATCGTGGGCAAATTTAATCATATACTGGAACGGCGGACTGCTAAATCGGGTCCAACCAGAATCTGTATAACGTCCACCATACAAATAATTGATTACAACACCGCTGACCAATTTAGAAGCGAATACTTATGGGTCGATTACGATTGTAATGCAACTATAGTTGGGTTGCCGATGAGCAACGCCACTATATTTTATGATTAGCAGCTATAGTTAAGTGCTATACAGCTGAAGATAACAAAATTTTTAAGTAGTAGCAACTATGACTTGAGTGCAAATAAGCTGATGAAACAGTTGGAAAAAAATAAATAAAAAATCTCAATCAAAGTTTCCACGGCATCCACAGAAGGCAGGGGCCAATATAGCAACTCAGTTGTTAGCTTCCAGTTGCTAGTTGCCATCTGCGGTATCATTACAGCCACTTGCAACCAAACTGAAGAGTGTTCGGTCATAGCATACATTCCGAATTCAAGTAAACCAGTATGTGACCCCATTTAGCAGTGCGCCGCTGGGTGACTAAAACGTGTATACATATATGTTTGCTTTGCTCTTCACAATGCGCGCTATTATTGAAACATACACGTTTGTAACTGATGCTTTCCTCGTTCTTTTCGAACGCATATTCAGCATATTTAATTCCAAAGAGTTAGAGATTTAAAATTAATTAACAAAATTTTACTAAAATGTACAATGACATACTTCCTACGCAAAATCAGTAAAGGCTGCTTTTATTTTCAACAAAGTATGAGAAAAAGTTAACTTATTTGCATTTGCTTACCACACAAATATTTACAGCAATCTTTCGAAGATAATGGAGCAGCTACGTTATCAGAAGAGATAAACGTTACCGACAGCGAGTCAGACCTGACCCTTGAGCAGGAGAACGCACAATACGATTTCCCGGAACTCAGCAAAAACAAAGTCGAAGAAAAAGAGGCTAATAAAAGGTTTAATATCGAATTTATTGAAGAGTATCGTTCTTTACCGGCATTGTGGGACACAAGTTCTAAGGCGTACCATGACCGTATTTTAAAAAGGGAGCAGTATGATATTTTACTAAAAAAATATAAAGAGAAATACCCAAATGCGACGGTGACTAATGTTAAAGAAAAAATACAGGCGCTCCGCACAAATTTTAGGCGGGCATTAAAACAAAGATCTTCGTCTGGAATATCAACCCTATACTATTTTGATGCAATGAATTTTTTGTCTAGCATTACACGAGTTTCTGACTTGGATGAAACACATGTAAGTTTTTAAAATGCTCTATGAAAATATTAAGGGTATTCATCTAAACGTGTAAATATGCGAAAATTTAGTTTTTCGTGATAGATGTATGCTAAGCTTAAAAATTAATTATTTTTTTCTTTTCACTTGCTCTTGAGTAGCAATTAAAAAATATTAATTACGCGGGTTATAATGTACTACAATTGGGTTGACAAGTGATCATTTATGAAAAAAAAATTGTGCTACTATGTTGAAAAGAATGATTTTTTTTAATTGAAAAGTCCCCGTCTCAAAAGATTTTCCCATATACATCTGTGTCAATAACGCATATCATAAAGTCGAAAACTAGAGTTCAGTCTCATGGCCACAGATATACACCTATGTATGTTAATTTTAAAGATTAGTTCACTTCTAGGTCGTACAGCTCAATAAACTATGTAGCTCTCCTGATTCTTAGTTCGTTCACCTTATTTAACTATAGTTCACCTAATTGAACAAGTTCGATAGTAAGAGCTGAAAAAATGTATCTTTTATAACACATACATACATTTAAATGATTGCAATAACGACAAAATCAGGAAAGGATGTTTATGGAAATTCAGCAGTGCCCGCATTTAGTTTTCCTTTTTTTGTAATTTTGCCTTCGAAATGCGAGTAAATTGCGTTATGCTTTGGTATCTGAAAGGGAAAGTCGTTTGTTAAACAACAAATCCCAAAAGCTCAACTCAAATATTTACCTTTTAAGACAAATTGCACTAAATGATGTGAATTCCGCTCAGTTGTTTCTATTTGCCTTTGCAACGAAAAACGAGTTCCCATATGAGACATATCTGCTACGTTTCTTTATACATTCCGGATTATCCCATTTCACAGCCGGAATAAACAGAATGCGTTTGAAATATACGTCAACATATCATCAGGAACGTTCTAAAGAATAAATAAACAAAAAAGTTTATTCCAAACATTCAGAATGAATAAAGAAATGCAGCCATCATGTCACCGCGGCCAGCTCTGTGCGCGACCTCTAAGGATTTGGATGAAAATTGAAGAGATTGAAGGTCTAGGAGGTATGAATATGCGTGCAGCATATTTCGCCGATATGACGTAGGGTTGCGTATTTATACGGGACTTAAATTTTAAGAAATCATCATAAGTACATATTTTTTTAAGTGCTGTATCCTGGAAACCTTTTAGCGAAACTTATGAAAACAAATTTATTTCTTCTGTCTTATTATGAGGTTTAATTATAAATTTCCTACATTAATGTGCAACGCAAGGCGAATTTATATAAGGTGGTGTTACTAGATCAGCTGATTTTGTGTATGTGTTTCGCCTCACGGCTTCTTATGTCAAATTGAAAAATTTTGTTTGAATTTCCACACACACTCTTACAGATTTTGACAGTTTATGCCGCCAAAGCAAAAACAAAATACATGTAAGTTTTTGTTTTTGTACTCCTGCTATCACCTTATATAAATTCGCCTTGGTGCAACGTATAAAAAAGAAAACAAGTAAGTAAACATTGTTCGTTTATGATTTTTTTTTTGGCTATAGCATTTAATTTTTTTTTACATAAAAACATTGTCTATTATGTCAACTTTAAGGCGTATAGCTCTAGGTCGTCCCACAGTATACAGTAAACCAGCCATTGACAATATGCTTATTTGAAAATTAATACATGAAATATTGTGCATGTATAGGATTATTTTGTCATTAACCCATAGGCAATGACTGGTGAAAAAGTACCCCCAAATGTTTGTTGATATATTTGAAATGTAAATTTTGACAGCGAAATTCGTAAACAAAAAATAATAAAACAAAAATATTGTTGATGGGAGGTGGTCGTGGTTATAGACAGATTTCACCAAAATTTAATACTATCCTAAATTATACCAAAGGCAACTTCGGCACCGACTTTCGTTAAAATATCTAAATTTTGTTCGAGTTAGCGTGTTTACAAACAGATACCAATTCATTTCATTTCGTCATTCTGAATATTTTGATAAATATGTATGTAATAATATGTGTATATACATTTTATACCGTTGAAAAACGGCCTTGCTTATCTGCATAAACCTTTCCTGCATTAGTTCGAGCGTCGATATATAACTTTGGGTACATGTTTCATAAAAACTTTGGAGATCTCCACTATAACAGTGGTATATTTTTAAATTAGAGAGTTCTACCTTTAAGCTAAGTAATACTTGTTTTACTCCCTAATTTATGGGTCCATTTTCCAAAATCAGCCCACCATTATTGACTCAAAGTTGTGTTTGGAACCAGATATGACTTATGTAGGAACTGCATCCGGTTATAATCGCTTACGCTGCAAGCCTGATTTGCTAGGAATTTTGTTTTTCTCGTTGTTTTATTTAAAGTGACTTGGAAATATTTGCCACTATAAGAAAATATTGAAATTGGATTTCATTTGGGTTAAAGAAAACGACAGCTGTGAAAAAATATCAACCAATACATTCAAATAAATTGTCAAATAAGCATATTTACATTTTTTGTTTTGCCTATCTGGATTACTGTATACTGTGGGTGGTCCAACGCTCGAGCAATATGACAAATAGATATTGAAATTTTATGAAATTGTATATTTTTGAAAGAGAGAAGGTGTGTAAAAAACAAAGACAATGTGAATAAATCAAATTAACTTTACTAAAGATCTGAAATCACCAAAATCCATTCAAGGAAATGGTAGAACTGAACTTTGTTGCAAGTTCACATGGGAAATCTGCTTCCGATTGCAGGAAATTTTAAGAGACTAGAGCATCTAGAGATCTAGAGCAACTCTTCAGCTCCCGACTAATGGGCTAAGAATAATTCAGAGAAAACCAAGGTGCTGTATGCGTCCAAGAGTGACTACAATGGAGTTAAGCAAAAGTTTCAAGATAGTTTCGCAAAGACACAATATATTCCGGAAACGCAGAAATTTCATGCCTTTATACCCTAACCATCAACAACACTCATTGCAAAAGAATATTCGATCTCCAATGACAGCTTCAAGGTTAGTCCTTTTATTGAAACAAGAAAAAGGAGAGGTGTGTAAAAAAATAAACCTAATGAATAATAAAATTATAGTATGAAAAAATCAACAACACGCTTTTATTACAATAAGAACTAAAAGAAAAAAATTATTTATTGATTTAAAGATTCTTTTAAGAAGGATATGAAGTTCCCTAACTTGATGTTATTTAACCTTTTAAACTAGCTTAGCCCTCAAGCGTAGTTCATTTTTTATCACGAATGAGTCAATATATACATTTGACACAATGCGTTTTCAACTCAAGCTTTCAACTTGATTTTTGAAATAAATGAATTTTTAATTGAGACGTGTTTTGTTATAAGGTGTTCATTTACAAAACGCAGAACTATCAACATCTCATCATCATGAAGTACCAAAAAAAATGTTTTCGTTTTATATAATTGTTAGATTTTAAGCACATTCAAAAAGGGTTGAGATTCTGTACATTTTTCGCAGAATATGTATATCGATGAGCGGGGAAAATATCTATTACACACTTATCACATCGTGCGCTATAAATATTAGCGTTTGATTTTTAAGGACACATATACATGCATATCGCCGTTTAAAGTACAAAACCGCGTATCAACAAAATGCAAAACCGCGTATGTGAGCTTGCATAAATTATTTTATAGAGAGTAAAAACATTCATATTTCAAAATGGTTATCTTTTTTTATAAATCAATCGCATTTCTGGCTACTAGCATATTTCAGGAGGAATGTATGTATTGAGCCAAGAGCTTGTGTGAGCAAATCCTATTTTTGGCAGTCAATGTCAGTTACGCGGTTTTGCAGAATGACGATACGCGGTTTTGTACTTTAAACGACGATATGTAGCTCATAAGCTCGTTTGCTAGCCTTAGGTGCTCACGACATTGAATGGTGTTAAGACTGCGTTGTTGATGGAGTTTCAGAATCTAAGTTTCTAACCCCTTGGATAACAGCAATTGCATTACTGCAACGCGGCATATGTTTGTGTTGCTCAATGCTTAGAAGACATAAGGATTCGCTAACTTCAATCAAAAATAACCTCCTGCCTATATCCTTTTTGGAAATATTCCATTCCGGATTCCATAAAAGCATTACATTTGGCTCTGTAACTTTCGCTACTCTGGCATTTTCTTCGAAATATACGGCATCCGAATCGTCACTGTTGTAATCGTTACAACCGCTTTCTATGTTTTCACATGGCTCATAATCCACATCATCCCCAGAACTGTATGGATCCTCCCATTACCTACGAATTGACCAAACCCAGACAATTCCATTTTATAAGAAACTTTAAAAGAAAATTCGAACCACGTTGATTCTGTTTTTTTTATGTGTAAAAACAAATTTTTTCCCGGTTAATAAAGCTCTTTTTGCCATTGTGTCAATTTGATACATGATCGACTCTTTAGGGAAATTTTTTGTACAGACTAACAGGAACATCTACCCGTGAAAGGGAACAGTAATATTAAAAACTCGCATATGATTTTTACGTTGAGCCAAAATCCCAGGTTAATTCGAATGCATGTATTAAATATATATATACTTGAATCTGAAAATTGTGTCAAATTGACACAAAATACGCTTGAAGGTTAATATAGGATTAAAGTAATTGGTACGTAGTCATAGTCGAAATAAAGTCCACTGTAAAGTTAGTTGCAGCTATTTTTTGCAGACATGCCATTGGAAACATACAGCACCTTCTTCTTCTCTAAATTATTCTTAAGCAGTTGAGGACTTGCTCTAGCTGCTAGTCTCTTAAAATTTCCTCAAATCCTGTCGCAATAGACAATGTTTTTATGTAAAAAACATTTAAAATTCTATAATAAAAAAAAAAAATCTGAAAGAAAAATGTTTACTTTTTTTTTTTACTTTTTTTATTCGTTGCACATTAATGTAAAAAATTTATAATTAAAGCTAAAGAACTGCAAAATTCAAGATTTTCTGTAAAAATGTCTTTCAGAAATTGCATGCATTGCTATGTCATGTCAACTCAAACAAGGTGTTATGCCATGTCATTCCATCTCAAACATAGCATGTCGTTGCTACTTAGCTAAGCTGTTATTCGCTGTTGTGCTTCTGTAGCATATTTTTAATCCTGCCTTGGATGAAAATATATACAGGTTTTAAATTAGACAATTCTTTGATGCATTTTACTATAATAGGTGCTTAAAAACTTTACAAAATCTCTTCCCGTATATAAAATATAATTAATAATGCTGACTATGTCGCATGTGTCGCATGTGTTGCTTGTGTTGACATGCATAGATTTGATGCATGATTTGAATTCAATTATTCGACAGTGTCTTCATATGTTATAGTGAAACATGTATGAGCGACATAATATGAACTGGCGCTTGCAAGATGTGACACATGTCGCTATGTTTTATAGTTCAACATTTGCAGGCCTTTAATTAAAGCCCATAATAAGACGGAAGAAATACTTTTTTTGCATTAAGTTTCGTTAAAAGGTTTCCAAGATACAGCACTTTAAAGAAAGGTAGTAGACGTTTTCTTAAAATTTAAGTTCCCTGTAAATAGGCAACCCTACGTCATATCGGCAAGATATGCTGCTCTTTAGTTCAAAAGCTCCCCAATTCTACTATGTATGTAGTGCACAGACATAAATATATGCACATACATATGTGACAGGGAAAGTTAAAATGGACCTACAAGTCGAAAAATCGATGTGGATGGGCAGATTGACCAAAAATGTTATAAACGTAGTCGTTGTGTCTCGAAAAGTAATTTTCGGGCCGATTCCTTTAATTTCCGTTTCACTACATCTCGAAAAAAGTTATGGTTATTTGTTTTACAAGCTTTTATTAAGTTTCGCTTGTGTGTAAGGAAATCTTGCAATCAATTTTTAACCAATTTCTCGATGAGCTACAGACTTGAAACTTCAAAATTGGCTCAGAATCAGATGGCAATGCAATAGAAAAGATGAATGAATCCTCAAGGTTTCGCATTAATAATGGAATAACTAAACAACAATCTTGCCCGCTAGGTAGTCGGGATATTTGGAGAATACGTATTTATAGTCGGATTTGTTTCAAATTTAGAACGTATGTACATTGTTTAAATGGAAAGAAGTAACTGCGGTTAGGTGGTGTGGGGGTCGATTTTTCTTCTTTTTAGTAACCACCAATTAATGTTTGTCTTAAAAAGATTTTTTTAAATTACATACTTGTTTATTTTCTTTTGTAATATTTTTACAGGTTACTTTGAAACCAACGTCCGAAAAGTTCACGGTACAGGATAGCAATTTAAATGAGGAACAATTTATCAGATTGGCTCATATATACCAGCGATATCCAAGTCTTTGGGATGAAAAGAACATAGCATATAGATTCGCTAACAGGCGACGTGAAGCTTTGAATAATGTACTTGAGGAGTTTAATGAAGCATATGGATTGAATCTAACGAAAAACGAGTTAGAAAAAGAAATTTCAAGACTGAGAAAAGTATGCTCGAATGAGAAGAGACAAAAGATAGCATGTAAACGAAAAAAAATAGATTATAAACCAAGTTGCCCTTATTATGATCACATCGCTTTTCTGGAAGTCGATGTAACTCCGTTTGAATGTTCACAATGTGAACAACTTATATTTGGTCCATGCCAGTACAAAGTTCATTTATCGACTCATGATGGCTCACTGCCATTCAAATGCCACATTTGTGGGCATGGTTTCAAGCTGGTCACTAACCTAACAGTTCATTTAAGAAGACATGCTCAAGACTACACGTTTAATTGTGAGGTGTGTAACAAGCCCCTTGCAACGGCTACAGAATTAAAAACTCATGCACGATTGCATACGGGTGAAAAACCGTATGTATGTGATATTTGTGGGAAAGCAACTGGATCATTTGCTGAATTTAAAAGACATAGGGACCGCCACGAAAAACGACCGCAGCATAAGTGTGAAATTTGTTCGAAGGCATTTTATGAAAAACCAAAATTAAAAGACCACGTTAATGCCCACCTGGAATTGCGAAACCATCATTGTAATGTGTGTAACAAATCTTTTACTAGTTCAAAACTTTTGCGACAGCACAAATTTATTCATGATGCCGAAAAAAGATATTCATGTAGAATTTGTGGAAAGCGTTTCGCACAAGGGGCTGGCCTTAATTCGCATATGAAGTCTCATGGTACAAAGTTATCTTCAAAGCCATTGATACAGTGAAATGCATGCATGTAAGCGTACATATGTAAGTACATACGCTACGAGTATTTCTTTCAAAAGTTTATTAAAATAAAATTTTTTTATTTGTCAGAAAACACAAAAAATTGCATGCGGCATGTTGCCGCAGATTTTATCCTGTCTAAAATTAATTGCTGATCAGCAAAATTAAAGAAGTAACGTTAACATTTAGAGTTTAAAACTTTGTGCTCTGATGTCGACATGCATTTCGCACACGATCTTCAAAAGTAACACAACTCAAAATTTGGAATTTTTGAAATTATGCACTAAAATTATACGCAGAGCTTTTATTTACCTTCAAGCAAAAGCTGGAGCAAATTTCAGATATAATTTGTTGAAAAAACCTAAGGTAAAGTCTCCCTTGCCCATATGATTTGCATGTGTTACGAAGTAGTTTTACGCATTTTCTGATGAATGTGTTATTTTGAGTTGTGTCACTTTTGAAGATCGTGTGCAATATATCCCCCCAGTTAAACGCTGAATCCAAAGAAAGATTGAGTTTTTTATAAGTTAATGAACAAACGGCAGTAACCCTCGTATTTCTTTTTCCCGATTTGGTTTGGTTGGTGGAGCAGTCAGCTCATATAAGCTACGTTATTCCTCTAGTCGATGAATGCTTATCTTCACCAATCAGCAAATATATTAGCAGGTTATTCCTCGAGGTGATGACTACATGTGTCCACCAATCGGCTTTTGTAGCTGCAAGCAGTGTAGGCTCGTGATGACCAAACAGCTATTGGAGGTGTGTTTGTTTTGGATGGCAATTGTTTGAGCGTGATTTTTTAACCGACTTCCAAAAAAGGAGGAGGTTATCAGTTCGTCGGAATATTTTTTTTTATGTATGTTACCGCAGAACTCCACAGGCAAACATCGATGGCCTACCAACTGTCATTTTGACGAGCAATGTGATTGCAAGTTTTTGTGTGTGGGCACTTTGATGTCTTGAAATAAGCATTTGCCGCATGACGCCATCAGACAACATTCTCTCAATTTCGGTGTTTAAAAACATTTAAATCTTTAAAAAACTTGCTGAATAATTTCCTAAAACGTAATAATAAATAATCCAATAAGGAACAGACTTTTATTTTAATTTAATATAAAAATTTCATCGATGTTACCACCAGCACGCTTTCTTTCAAATGAAAATATGGCTGTCAAACTATCGAATTGCCTGCAATAGATGTCAAGCAATAAGCGCTGACATATATTGCAGCACATGAGAAATAGGCGGTCTCCATTGGAAATATATTTTGTGACATAGTTTTCACGACATCAGTGTTTTCCTGTGGAGACAGGGCCTTACGCATAACTTTGGACCACGTCAACCGATAATCGATAATAGATTTTTTGCATCGGAAAGGTAATAGGCTGTTTTTGCTTACGCGTAAAAGCACATTTAGCGCATTTAGCTCTAAATGCTACTCTAAATGTACATTTATCCATACAAAATTCGTCACCTAAATGCAACTCCATTTTTGCATTTAGAATCTAAATGCTAAAAGCAACCCTGTGATCTTCCAAAATTTCCACGATTCGAACATGGTTTAAAGAGAAAAAGTGGCAACATTGCTTTTTCGAGTATACAGTTGCTAGCTGCGTTTCAGTGATCGCCGATCGAGATTTCTTTTATTTTGCATTACATATTTGGATAAAGAAAAGTTAAGCAAATTCAACATCGATTTGATGCTGATAGAAATCTGGATCAATTTGTGATCAACTCGGTTCGTTTTGTTTCCTAATTAAGTGAGAAAATTTTAATTGACAGCACCGACAAATGAATATATACACAAACAAATTTTCGGTTATGGTTAAAACAATACAAGTTTTTGTATTGAATTTTTGGTTTAAAATTTATTTTTTCCTTTTCAGTAGGGTTTACGCACATTATCTTCTGCGTGAGAATTGATCGTAATATATACGCATCTAAATAAGAGACTGGAACACGGCTGTTTGTCAAAAGCATACGATTTCGAACTCGCGTAAATGTACATTTGCTAAATGCTATAGCATGAACACTCTTCGAAAACATATGTTCGAAAGTGCTAAATGTTGCATTTTTAATGCAGCAAAAACGCTGCATAAGGTCTCAGAGGTGGTCCCATATTAATCTGGTTTAAATCCGATCATTGAATTATGAAATATATATATATATATATATTTTTTTTTATATGAGAATTGAAGTCGTTTTTTTTTTGCTAAAAATTACTTGTTTTACTTGAAATGTCTTTTTGACCTCAGACGGAAGTAGCGAAGAAATAGAGTTAATTCCCAAAATTAATTCGGTTCAAGGGCACTTTCGATGACAACACTGGTAAAATGGGCCAGCTGTTGTCTATTGTACAAGTAAACAAATATAGCATGCGAGCTGCGTACTGCGAGTCCGTAGGGTCCAGGTTCGATCCTCGGTAGGAGCAATTGCCAAAAGATTTTTTGTTTTTATTATTTATTTTATTTAATTTGGTTTTTATATTTTAATTTTACTTCATTTTATTTACTATTGTTTTATTGTATTTCACACTGGCGCCCTTCACTGCTCCTTAAAAGTATTTTTGTTTTGTTTGATACCCGTATTGTAATATTTCATTTATTTTATCAATTTAGTTAAATACAATTTTTCAAACAGATAGTAATACTCCCTAAAAATATTTTCAGAAGTTAACTTTCCAAAACCTTTCAGTTTGATGCCCATATTGCAATATTAAATTATCATATCAATTCGATAAAATTAAAATTTTCAAACATGTTGCAACCTCCACAAAAATATTTTAGGCTGTAAAATTGTGTGCACTCTTCCAAAAAAAAACTCACTGAATTTTATTCGGTGAGTTTTGCACTTGGTGTACACCACTTTTCTCACAATTACAGAATGCCAAGCGAGTTCCAAGCCAACATTTGCTATTTAGATCATCATACAAAGACCATTGAGTGGAAGTGGAGACACCGGACGTGATGAACAAGAATCTGAAAACGTCAATCGCAGGTAAGAATAATCCTGGTGGAACCGAGAAAACGGATGTTGGAAAAGCTTTAATTGCGCAAAACCAGGCCATTTTGCACGTGATGGTAAGACGGGTTCCAACAGGTACAACAGTTCAACACGACGCAAACGTAGGGCTGAAGAAGACGAATCCAACCCGATTCAGTCGTTAAACTAAAACGAGCCAGCACGAGAGGGCGCGCGCTGACTCCCGCAATTGAATGCCTCATAATCTCCATCGAAAATTTGCAGAAAAGATAGCAAGTCACTGTTAGTGGATATGTGGACGGATATGAGCGAGTACTAACTGTGGATACGGACGCATCACATTGCATTATTCGATCTGATTTGGTCACTAAAGAGGTAAGGCCTGGAGCAAGGTTGAGGGCAGAAACTGGTGAGACTACCCAAGATGTGGAAGAAGTACCATGCAAAGTCGCAATAGGGAATGTGGCGGTGTTACACAAGTGCATAGCCGCGGAGATTATGGATAGAGTCATCATAGGAGTAGACTTCTTACTCTATGTCTCCACCAGAGCTTAAGCACGTAGTTATGGCCGTTGAGTTGGACAATGTCTCCATCCGAGCTTAACCACGTAGTTACGGCTGTTAGTTTGGTTATCCCAAATACCCACATGATTGAGCGTGGTTTCGCTATATAAAAATGATAGCAGTTAACCATTTCACTGAAACGGTTAAAAAAACTAACTTAAAACTACGTCGAAAATCTGATACAACCCTTCGTTTTTATCAATAAAAGATTCAATACAGTAATTTAATTATTTTTTGATATAAAGATGTAGAGCATGGCGGATGCAGAAGTTTACTTAAGTTGTTAAAAAAATATACTTACTTAATTACTTACTTACATAAATTTACCCCGTGTTCTTATTTTTGCATGAATCGAAAATATTTAAGTGATTTCCTATGTCATACAACTCACACCCCCTAATCCAGGATGTTAAGCGACACCGTGCCCATTGGAAGGCAGCTGATGGTGCAAGGTGCCGTCAGGGGTCGGAGCCGACCTCTTTGTCTGCGCCCGTCTTGGGAGGTGCCAGTGGGAACATACCGCACCTAGACTCGGGGTTAAGGGCGCGGGCGAATTTGCCTGCATCCAGGACGTAGGTAGGGCCGCAGATGAAGTCGTCTGCGGTTCTGGACGTGAGGTCACTGGACAGTACGGCCGGCACCAGCCAAGGACTTGCGGCTAAAATCGTGGCAAATCCCTCCGTTAGGCCTAATCGGCACGCTGGGCCGGCATGGCCACCAAGATCTTGGACCGATACAGCGAGCAGGGTGCTTCGCAGCTATCTGAGCAACACGCGCGGTCGCTCGAGTGGAGTGGTGAGGGTGTTTCTGGGGTTGCGAGCGCATCCCGTACTGACCCTGTCAAGCGGCAGAGGTCGCAGGAGGGGGAAACCCCCCTCCCCAAGAAGCCTAGATCGGGTGGGATGCCTAAGCTCTTTAGCGAGATCGCTAAACAGTCGGGTTCTATCACTCTGCGCGTTTTGGATCGGGGTAAGGAGGACGGGCCATCGCCAGGGAGGACTGGAGGAAACTGTCGTCGGCTTTATCCGAGGTCTGTATGAGAGTGGTCAGGGAAAACCCTGGGTCACCGCCGCGGTGTGAGAGTGCTGGTTGGCACCAGGGCATGTTTAAGAAGGTGGTGTGCGGGCGTGCGTTCGGCCTCGCTGTACAGGCGGCAGTAGCTTTGGTCGGAGAGGTTTAGAAGGGAGCCAGACTCGAGGCTATGGACAAGGGAGAACTTCCCTTGCGTCCCCCTGCGCGGGTCTGGCTTCCCTCGGCACCTTCCTCGCTGAGGGAGGCGGAAGATATCTTCCGCTACTGCAACCCGGACTTTTCAGCGCACAGCTGGAAGGTAATCCGGTTTGAGAACTCCGACGGTGACTTTCCGCAAGCGCTGATGTTGCTGAAATGGGAGTCTCTTAAGCCTCTCGCCGAAAAACAGGGTGTCATTTACTATGGGTTCGAGAAGGTAGTCATGAAGGTCTACCAGACCGACTCCAGAGGGGATGACGAGCCTGTTCCGGTTGCGCTGGCTGGTGAAAATACTAATGCGGAGGATGCCCCCGTAGGTATGGTGGTCGAATCCGTCATGTCGGACAGTGACAGCTGTGCTGGTCCTCCTTCAACTGCGGGATCGCTCAACAGTGTTGGCCCGCTGTTCGACAGGGCGGAGGAAAAAGTGCTCCTTGCGTCCGATGGGGATGGCGCCTGCGGAGGGGTGGTGGAGAGGATTTTGGAGGATGAATATTCTTCAGATCAATCTTCAGAACTCTAAAGCCAACCTTTTAATCCACACGGTGTAGTCGATGTAGTCCTGATTGGCTAAAGGCCATGTACCGGGGTCTTAGAGGGTGGTCAGAGTGGTGTTCATTCCCAAGGCGGGTAAAGTCCCTCATGTATCACCCAGGGACTTCAGGCCGATAAGTCTCTCCTTGTTTCTTTTGAAGACGCTGGAAAGGCTGATTGATCTGCATTTAAGGAGCGGGATCCTCAGGGAGCGCCTTTCCTTGAATCAGCATGCTTACTGCAAGGGCAGATCTGTTAAAACGGCCTTACACATGGTCGTTGAAAATATTGAGCAATCCTTCTCGCAGAAGGAATTTGCGGTCGGTTCCTTCCTTGATATCGAGCGGGCTTTTAACAATGTTTTGCCTGAGGCTGTAGTTAACTCCCTAAATAAGCTAGTGGTCGGAGCCGACCTTGTTAGGTTTATTTACCGCTTGCTTTACAATAGAACTGTCGCGGCAGAGTGGGCAGCGCTTCAATCCGCAAGGGGGAGTTCTCTCGCCGTTGCTGTGGGTCGTTGTAATCAATGACTTGCTGGTGGCTCTGGAAAGAAGTGGCTGTCGGTTGGTTGCCTATGCCGATGATGTAGTATTGATAACAAATGGAAAGTTTCCGGAAACACTGTTTGAGCTTATGCAGGGTTACTTGAGCTTGGTTGAGAACTGGGCTTCTAGCTGCGGGCTGGGTGTAAATCTCAGTAAAATGGAGCTTGTTGTCTTTACTAGGAGGTATTAGATACCGAATTGCCGTCTTCCCTCAATGGGTGGTCTTCTTCTAAGGCTCTCTGACAGGGTGAAGTACTTGGGCTTGATCCTTAACAGTAAGCTTTCCTGGAATCCTAACGTGGAGGAAAGAGTCAAGAAGGCTACAGTAGCATTGTATTGTTGTAGAGGGGCCATTGGCAAGCGCTGGGGCCTCTCACCGAAGGTAGTGCATTGGCTTTATGAAACTATAATCAAGCAAATTTTTTTATATGGGGTACTCGTCTGGTGGAACGCACTTGACAGGGCCTACATCGTCAAGCAGCTGGAGGAGGTGCAAAGAGCCGCCTTAATTGGATTCAGTGGGGCACTTCGAACCACACCTACTCTTGCGGTCATGTTAAATGTTGTGCCTAAGTGGGGGGGCTTCAAGTTCACCTCAATCTATGGGCACTCCAGAATTCTGAAAGGCTTGGGATTCCTACCGACTCGGACAGACCACTGGACGTTGGTCTGGGTCCGAATGGATCTTTTACCACCCACATTCCAGCGAGGGGAGACTGGGAGGGGGGCAGTATCTGGAATCGCGGACCTGTAAACTTATTTACAGATGGATTGAAGCTGAATGGGAAGGTGGACGGAAGTGTCTTCTGCGAAGAACTCTCCATCAACCTGAAATTTAGGTTACCGGATCACTGCAGTGTTTTCCGGGCTGAGGTGGCCGCGATGAAAGAGGCTTCGGATTGGTTGCTCTCTAGTGTAACATCTGTTAAGGAGGTAAATATTTATTCTGACAGCCAAGAAGCCATCAGGGCTCTTGGCTCCTTGACGGTGCGTTCGAAAACGGTGAGGGAGTGTTTGACTTCCCCAACGACCGCGTCTGATTGTTTTGCTATTAAGCTTATTTGGGTTCCAGGTCACAGCGAAATCGCTGGCAACTGCATGGCTGATGAGCTCGCAAGACAGGGAACCCTCGTGGAATTACTTTCGTATAGGGAGGGTCTGTGGGTTCCCCTGACCCCGTCTGGTCTGCTTCTGGACAGATGGGCGTTTGGTCAGCACAGCGAGTGCTGGGCGACGATCTTGCAGTGCAAGGTGGCAAAGTCCTTCTGGCCACGGGTGGACCGGAGGCGGTCTAAGGAGCTCTTGAGACTAAGCAAGCTGCATCTCTCACTATTGGTGGGAGTGCCTACTGGTCACTGTGTGATTGGTAACCATGCCGTAAGGCTGTATGTCGTGGATAACCCTTACTGCACCAGCTGCATGGAGGACGATGAGGTGGAATCATCTCAACATCTGGTGCTCTGGTGCCCTGCCTTTGCGAACCTAAGGTTTAAGCACCTTGGCTCGCACTTTTTTCACACTCGATGAGCTCTCGGGAGTGGACATCAGTCGACTGAAGAGCTTCGTTGTGAGCACGGAGCGTTTCTCCAGCAAAACCCATAGATGTCGTCTTTCTCCCATAGCTTCCCCCTCCTTCCCCTACCCATCCACTGTCTTTTTGGCCTCCCTGCATCCTGTTCCCTCCTCCCTCTAAGGGCATCACAATAGACAGCTCAGTCGAGTCCAATTGTGCCTCCATATGCGAAGGCAGCCCGCTTACCTAACCTAACCTAATCTTCGGCAGTAAACTCTGTTTGCCTAGTGACCTGAAGTTTGATGTAAGTGGTGATTGCAAAAGGATTGGGAAAGAGACGTTCAACATCTTTGAGGAAGAGCTGAGAAAGATGCATCCTCTTATGTGACGGTGTACTCAATTTATGAGTGACAAGATGAAGGCCATGTATGATAAGGCGATGAATTCCAACGGTTTCCAAGAAAGAGATTTACCCCCTATTCTAACAAAGTCACAAAATTAAGCGCATCACTATTGAGGTATCTACTACGTTTCAAACTATGCTGCTGCGACATATATGCCGATAAAAATATTTATATTTGTGTGCATTTCCTTAGCACCTATAAACTAATTTTTGTGGCATATTTTCAGGCGCAGTAAAAATCACAACAGTGATGCGCTCAATTTTGTGACTTTGTTAGAATAGAGGGGTTAATGTTGCTATACAATCCACAGCGGAAGAAAGATTTGTCCCCAATCGAATCCAGGAAAGCACGTAAAGAAGAGGAGCTCTTGGTGCTGGATGCTGCAGTAAAAAGAAAGAAGTTGGAGTTATTGGAGAAAGAATTAAGTTCAAATATGTAATTTATTTCTTTTGAATTTTTATTTATTTTTTATGAAGTGTTTTTTCTTTTTTTACTTTAAGTTTTTTTCCATTGGAATTATAAAATCTATTATATTATTGCTATAAGAAAAACTTGAATAACTGAGCCTAAACTCTTCTGATTTAGACTGAAAGGGTGTCAGTGGAAAGGTATGAAGAATACTGCGAACAGCGAGAGAATGAGAGAATTTACGACAGATGGAAGAACCTCCTAGAGTTGCCATGAGTGCGAGCACAGGTATATGAGAGCTCTGCTAAAACTCACGTTCCAATCATTCCAATCGGTGTCTTCATATTTTATCATCTTTAATACGCCATTTCGGATTTATTGTTAATTGACTGGCCAAAGTAAAATAATGAAAGTTAAAGGTTGTAAATGAAAATAAAATGAAGGAAAAGTGTTTTGGTTTGGTTTTTGTGTAGCGAAGCTGTTATCAAAAGATGTAAGAAATGTCAACGAAAACACTAATAACCAGTGTGAACAGCGTTCAGCCCACAATCCCAAAACTCGCTTTCATAGTGTTTTCGTTGTCGGTCAGAACATGATATAATACCGTGTTCTGACCGACAACGAAAGTTTTAGGTCGAAAACCAGTTTTAGCAACGAAAAAATGTTTTCGATGTCGGTCAGAACATGGTATAAAGGTGTTCTTACGCGATATGTATTTGCATGTGTACATGCAACTTTTTACATATGGAAATGCCAACATATCGTGTAAAAGCAAATAAGATTTATTTCTGTACAAAGCAGATGCACGTACATATGAAATAGAAATGTTTGTAGTTTCATTTGACACATAGGTAGAATCATCTGAGGTTAGTTAATTTCAAAGAACGTATTTTTAAATAGTTAATTTGAAAGACACGCGCAATTACATATGTATTGAAAAAGTCACATTTAGGCTTTCTGCACATTGGTCGTCCAATCACAGTTGCTTCATCGTCACAATCATGATGCAACGATTACACTTTCGCACACTCGGTCGTGATATTAGCAGCAGCAGGTATTTTCTGTTTTTCTCGTAGATATTTTCGCGAAATATTTACAAAAACCTGTAATTTTTAAAATATAGACTGTGCTGCAACAATTCTAGACATAATTTTTCATATCTCTTCTTTTCTTTTCCTGAAATGTGTTTTGTGCATGCGCATAGAGACTTTTTACAATTGCGGCATATTTTATAGTTAAATCGCTCACATTTATTGAATTTTAAAGCAATTATTCAATTTTTAATAATTTCCACAGATTTAATGCAAAAAATACTAATTTTTATGCAATTTTAATGCAAATATTAACTTTCTCACTAATTTTCCCCCATAAAATGTAAACAAACAATGCGTGCACAACGATTAGCAAACGACAGTGCCGTACTTATCCGTGTCTGCATCTTCTACGATTTGCCGATAACTAGCCGATAACGACAAGTGTGCAGATCTCCTTTGATGCACAACGATTA